TGTTCTTGATCTACACTAAACACTCATGTTTTTTATGGCAACGAAACCTATTTTATGTTTGGCATCCCCTAATAACCCTATATACCAAATTTGGTCAAAATTGGACAATATCTAAATTTTGACCAATCAGAGGCCAGGATTGTGTTTCTACGGTAACAGTTTGGGAAACGTCTAATATGTCCAATTATTGGCCTTACTGAATTACATCTTTTTACTAAGTTTGAATACAATCGGTCAAATAACTGAGGAGTTATGGACATTTATTAGAAAACTTGTTGATAGTGACCAGTTACAATGGCAACCAAAATTTCCAAAAAAAGAAAGGGGCATGCATATCTACACATGGTCCTTAATATTCCTGTTTCATCAAAATCGGTTCAGAGGTTTAGGAGGAGTTAGCCGGACAAAATGTGTCTACAGACAGAGTGACGGACAGACGGACAACCTGATTCCAGTATACCCCCCGCATAACAAGATTTTTGAAATTTCAGTCAATTTGACCCATTTTCTGGAACTGCTCAATAGCCCCAGGATGTCAGCCAAGGCCAATATGTGCAGCTATCTTACATAAATAATTCTTACCAAGTTTGACCTATTTCCAATTGAAAAAAAAATGTTAAAAATGTAATTTTCCTATATAAAATATAGTACACTTTACCCCCTCCCCTCAGGGAAATGTGAGACCCTGGGGTCATGAAACTTACTTTGGTAAAGCATTAAGGTATTTCCATCCATTAAGAGTACTTGATTCTACCATACCTGGGATTTGAGGAAATTTTTGAAGTTTCAGTCAATCTGACCCTTTTTGGCCCCACCCCTCAGGTCTCTCGGGGTTGGGACCATATAATTTACAATTTTGGTGAACATTTAGCTATGGAAGGTTTTTGTAAAATTCCACTGAAATCGGTTCAGGAGTTTTCCATAGGAAGTTGAAAATGTTAAAATTTTTGACACACAATGTTTGATAAAGGGGATTGCAATAGGTCACTCTGAGACTTTGTTTCAGGTGACCTTGCAAATCTAATATAACATAACATTGAATATTTGATATATTTTACTGCAAATGACGGTTAAAGATCAATCACCAATGAAATGTGCAGTAATATGACCAATAGCAGAGGTTTGCTATATTGTTCAATGCAGTTTAACATCCATTGCTACACCTTGATGAATTACTCACAAATATGGCCAACATGTTTGATTCTTAGCCTCAAATAACACAAGAAAACCCAAAATATACAAGAAAGACTCTTTTTACATAAACACATAGCGGATACGAAGCATGTGGCGTTACATATACCTAGTAGCTAGTTGTTCCTAGGATGCATTATTAAGCTGAATTAAAGCTTTTTAATAAAATTTCAAAATAGTAGCCAGGCAATAATGTAGGTCAAATAAAGTATAACACTACCTGCTATTTATAACCTGATGTCAAGGATCTGACAATGGGCTGACATGTGATCCTTCCTGATGCTGATTATTCACAGTCCTTAACACTATCAGAAGTGAAAGTCTGACTATGTGAACTAGATCAATGCAAATCTAATTTAAACAGGAAAAAACCATTTTGTAATCTGGAGTAGAATTAACTACCAAGGAGTTGTAGTGGATAAAAGCCTGCAATAAAGGCTGTTTTCACACCTCAGGCTTTGCCAGTTTTCCATGTGCCCAATAATCTGTAAAATGAGCAATTCATAATGCAAAACTAAAGAACATCACATCCTCGTATTCAATAATAATTTGGTTAATAGATAGCAGTTGCAAAATACAGTGTAATTATTCATACTTTGGGGAGTTCAGCTAACATGACAAATTCCTTTGGCAAAGTCATTTGGAAACAGGCTAGTTTTAATGACAACTTCTCTCATAAAGTTGTATCACAAGAATACTGCTATACAAAGAACTCTTCCCAAGGTTCTTATCTAGATGTTTAAAACTTCTAAATCAATGTAAGATCATATTACAAGACACCAATACATTGCAATTCACATGCTGATCTTTCAACTGACATTTTTTGCCTTTCTGTATTTTTTGTCATTCTTTTAATATTTTGTTAAATTTTTGTTCATGTAAGTTGCATTACACAAATGCAAACACTTGTCAATGAAGAAAGACCTACATATCCAATTATATATCATCCTGACAGTTTGGACAAGGATCTTGATAAGGAAAGGTAGCAAAGCTGTGTTTTTTTTATTTGTTTTGATACTAATTTTCTTCGAACAGTTAGCTGACCTTAAGTCTGGGACAATTTCAAATGTTTCCTAACTAAGCCTCAACTTGCAATGGCACATTTAAATCTGATTTATATATATATACATAAAAAAAAAAAAAAAAAAAATAAGCCGATTGAACATGTGAGGTATTGTGGAATAATGCCAAGTCATACGATTAGCAGGTATGACATCACAGCAGAGTATGGTGGTACCTGATCAATACTGGTGCTCTCTCAGCACACTTTAAAACCTTGCCTAGGTTTTACCCACATCTCTATGCATAAAAGGCAAGCTTAGAGTATTGATTACAACAAAAGTCAGAAAATCCAAAGTGAACAATGGTATGTTTATCTTCTCGTAAGACAATGGTATGAACAGATGATGAACACATGAGTGGATAATAAAACTGGAATATTTGGAAGGTTTCTCTTGCATCCTGCAAATCTACATATCATTGAGCCATGCTTTTTGAGTTTGATGTAATATTTAAAAAATTGCAGCATCAATTACACTATTAACTTGGAAAAGCTGAAATCAATGTTGAAATACTGATAAAGTAATCAGATTCAACATATTGCCTAGTCCTGGCAATAGGCAAGACATTTTTGCTGTTGAATGCATGGCTTGCATTTTTTGTTTATTATATGTATTAAAGTCTAAGTTTAATAATACCGAGTAAAACCGTCATTCTGATCATGAAAAGAATATCATTATGGTATTCAGGAGCTGATTTTCTAAAAACCCTACATTTTACTTACTAATAATGAACTTAAATTTCTGCATTTATTATTTATGTTGTAAATAATTGCTTTACTTGAAATTCTGAGAAGAAAATTAAAGTGATATATCATCACTAGATATTTCCTCAGGGTCTGTTTTGACAAGGTAGCAGGTGTATCTGCATCTTCAGTCCAATACATGGTTTAAGTTATTGGTCATGGAAGGACAGCAGAAACAGGCTTCCATCATCTAGAAAATACTGGCAGCATATTGAAATTTGAGAAACTACTATAAAACAAAAATTACCCTGAACTTGTTTTTGCTGCTGTTCACTCAGATTATTTGGCTAGTGGGTAACGAGTAGTTATGTAATATACACATGGTATGCACAAGATTTGAAAAAACTTAAGTATCAATTATTATGAACTGCACTGCATACTTTTAATAAACAATATCTTATTCTAATACTCGTCAACATAAATTAATAAGGTTATTGTGGTAATCATTCTTTGATCTTTATTTGTTCTTTAAAAGTTGCATCTGTTCCTTTATTTACTCTTCCTTGTTTTTGCCCTTAATGATAAGAAATTTTAACATTTATCCTTTACAGAAATAGTGATAATGATATTTAACTGCCAAATCCAAGATGTTTATCTGGAAGCCATTCTGTTTCTCTGATCAATTCTAAAATCAAAACGATTAGAAACCAAGGGGAACTTACATATGAAATTTGAGAAAGATCCCTCCAGTACTTTTCAAGAAATAGCGATAACAATAATTGTTTATGGATGGAAGGACGATGGAACATGGACGTATGGCTATTTGAATTTAAATCACATTCAAGACTGCACTAGCTAACCAGATAATGGAGTATGAACTTGTAACAATATGGCCTTTCCTTGACTAATTGTGAATGATTTTGCAGGTGAATACTTTTCATCATTACTGTCATGCACTCTTTGTTGTAATTTTAGAGGTATTTGTTATATATACCAGTTCAACATATGTTAAACCTCTGGTCAGTCAAAACAAGTAAACATTGGTGAATGTTTGTGAAAATAAACTTGAATTCAATTTTTTATAGGTTTGTCCAAAACATGTTGGATTGTTTCAAAATGTGCTAGCAAGATCTGAATTGCATATAGATTGGTAAAGATAACAGACTGTTGGAATATTGGCAAATGCATTGATATGTCTTTTGAATGGTAACTTGCATGTTAATAGACTCTTCAAAAATCACAGGTTCATTTTTTTTCTTTATCATGCTGGTTACCCATATCAAGAAACCAATAGCATTATGTGCAAAAAGAGCAATAAAACCCATGTTTTAATGTACATAAAATTCAATGAACTTTAATGAAAACTAGGAATATGTCTGGAAGACATGACAGTGCTTGCAAATACTAAAGATTCTGTCTGCTAGAATTGTAATTTTGTATCAAATAAGTCCTTTTGACAATAGATTTATGCATCTGAATGTAGCCAGTGTAATAATCTTCATTTGCATACCTACATGTATAAAGTTGTGTCTGATAAGTGATGTTGTAGAAAGAAATATTTGAAATAATTTTGCTAAAATTCGGTACACTTGTAACAGATTGGGTGACAATTCAAAAGTATACCTGCCTGTTTTGCTAAGATTTTTACCTATTAGATCTGGAACAAATGCTTGTGACTGAATACTTATTTCCTGAACAGTATTCAAATATTCAGTACAATTTACCACCCTAATTGTATTCAGAGAGATCTAAAGCTGAATGACAGAGACACTTAAATGTAGCATACTTCCTGGATTGTTAATGTCCCCCTCTCTGGCCATCAAATTAGAGTTCTTCTCTATGATAAGAATTATTTTTCAGAAATATGCCAAGGCAACAATGGGTCTGCAAGCAGTACATATATGGATAGCTTAATCAAATCAATGATTGAGATAATACGAAATATGAATTGAAACTGTTTCCTTGTCATATGTGATATTTCAATGTAATGCTGCTCAATACTCTACCTTTGATCAGTTCCTCCTGGAAACAAAACAAAGATTCTTTTTCACAAAATTTGCCTTACCTGTCGTCATGTTTTTTTTTTATCTTTATCACACACACAAACAAGGCACTTGAGGTCTTCTCACTCCTGCAATAAAGGAAGAAATACTGCTAAATTTACATCAAAAGCAACAACAGTATCATGACACATTGACAAGTTACAACTTAAGTTACACAATGTACATGCTTGTAAACTAAGATCATCAAGAGCCCCCACCATCTATATTCATTTGTAAAATATACACATTTAAAGCGAGCAACATGGAAAACTGGAGAAGATATCAACCAATCAGATCAAAGCAGCCTCATTAAATATGCATGGAATTTGCCGTTAATCAAACTTAGGCGATTAAGGTGACAAGGGTACCAACCAAGTTTCATAAAAATCCTACCAGTTTTCCAAAAGATATGAGAAAGCATCCGACAGTGATTAAAGAAATCATCCAATCAGGTCACAGCAGCCTCATTAAATATGTGCTGAGTTGCTATTAATTGAATTTGGCTAAGGGATTACGGTAACAAGTTGACCAACCAAACTTCGTCAAAATCTGACCAGTCCTTCAAAAGATATCAAGTGGATGGACAGAATGATGGACAGATGGAACCCATTTGAATAACCCCACCATCTTCGTTGTGCAGGGGATAATAAAAAAAAAAGCACAAATTTAAGTAAAATTATCAAAGGTTGAAACGCTGAAAAGTTTAGTCATAAAGGTAAAGCCTGTGTCATGTTTGATTTTGCTTTATATTCACAGTCAGGAAAGATAATACATACCCAGCAAACATTTTCAGTTAATAAAAAATTCAGAAAATAATTGTATAATACTTGTATACCATATTTTCTGTTGTAAGCCTCTGATTTTTTCATTGGCAGTCAGGTGGGCCACTTAATGTGTACGAAAAAATTCGGCAAAATGAAAAAAACAAAAAATAAAGAGTGTTGTCTGGACATTGATTCTGGACATTATGCATTTCGGAATGGCCATTTTGTCAAGGCATATTACAAGCACTATTGACCTGGCACCCTGATAATTTTGGTTGGTGTAACATATCATGCTTCCAGAAAGAACAAAAAATAAGTGTTTTAAACCAAGGATACCAGTACGAGACACATGTACCAATTTTTTTAATGGGTACCTGTCCATCACATGTTTGTGACTGAAACAGATCATCTAGAACCTTTATTCGAAAACCATATACTGGATGATTTTAAGATTGAAATAAAAGTAAGTCCCTAGAATTTAATTAATCATACATTTTAATGTGATTCACAACAATATCTTCTGAATTTCTGTGGTTGCTTTGGAAGCCATAGCGGAAGTTTACAATTGCTGGTTGCATCCTGGGATCGATGGATCATCGGGTCAAATTCTAGAACAATCGCCATGCTTGTTTATGATAAGAATGGCTTCATATAACTTACAAGAAATAATATGGGACCATAAGAATTTTGTCAATATGTAAGACCCTTTGCCTTTGCAGTATAGACACCGATGAAGATATTAGTAAGATAATTGTATGTAACATCACCCTATATATATGCATAGACAATTTTTGAAGGCTCCAAAGCCAAACAATTTCTGTAATTGCTATTTTACATTTTCCAATCACATCAATAAAATAAAGGATTATCTGTGCATAATTCATTTGCAAACTTTTATTGAATGCACTGACAATCTTGATTAATTGCTTTCTGTTGTCTGTTAAATAAACAAATTTTTAAATTGCTCAACATAACAGTTACCATATCATAAGAAAGGGTGTGGTTTATATTCTGGTGCATCTTATATGTGGATCAAAAAGAAAAAAAATCTCTAAAATCCAACCCTGCGGCTTGTACTCGGGTGCAGTTTATAGTCTGCACAATACCATACATTGATACCAGCTGACAGAAGTGTGTACAATTAAACATACCAGATGAAGTCCAAACTGGACAACTGCGAAATAGATGCCCCATGAAATTAACTACATATATAAAAAGGAAGAGAAAAATAAATTATGTCAGATATTTGGGAGATTTTACAAAACAAACACAGGTGAAAAGCATGTTTCAATACAAATTTAGAATGATCTCGTAGAGCCTGATTATAATTAACCAGACCATTAGTTGTTTTCGCCTTCTAGGACTTGTTAATGATGCTAAGTGCCTAAATTCTAATAAAGCCTTTTTGTAGGAGGCAACTGTGGAAAACTGAACTTGCTTGAAAGAAATCTCAATATCCAGATGGGGAGATGCACTAATCCCATCATTCAATAAATTTCATAATTTTCATTTATGGGAAAAGAATGTCAAGTGCATTTGTATATCTTGAATCATACCACTATTCAAGTTAGCACCATCAAAATATTGAAAGTTACATAAAAACAAGATATCAAAAAGGGATCTTGGCGCCCACCATTGTTTCATCTGCTCTTTGCAAGTTGGATTTTCCACCTCCTTTTCTCTTCTCTGTTTTTGCTCTTAATAATAAGAAATTTAAGCATTCCTTTGCAAAAATATTAATTATAATCTTTATGTGCAAAATTTGAAATGGACACCTGGAAGCCATTTATTTCTTTTGATCAGTACCAAGATCAAGCAGGCACAACTAGGGATCAAGGAAAACACAACACGAGAGAAATATGAGAAATATCTATGCTGTAGTTCTCAAGAAAGTGATAACAAACATGCTAAGTCAAAATCCAATATGACCACCTGTCTGCCATTTTGTTTTTCTGTTCAGTCCCAAAATTAAATGGACACAACTAGGGACAAAGGAGAACCTACATACGAAATTTAAGAGATCCATCCTGTACTTCCACAAAATTAGCGATAACCATCATTCAAAGTCAAAATCAAAGATGGCCACCTGTTGGCCATTGTTTTCCTGATCAGACCCAAAATCTACTGGGCACGCCTAGGGATCAAAGGAACCTATATATGAAATTTGAGAAATATCTAGGAACCAAAGGTGGATGCGGAGGTATTCTAATACAGCTCCATAGATGATAGGTATTAACAAGTAGAATAAGGATGAAGCATCAACACCAAGGATTCCGTAATTGTTTAGATATATTTAGCAATCAAAAACAGATCTAGATTGTTACAACTGCTTACATTACAACAGACTTGACAATTCATTTTGTCCCATATGTGCTCAATGAGTGAAAAATAGAAGTATACTGCATACAATGGTAACACATCCACATTCTACCAAGTAAGGAAATCTGTGACAACTTATAACTTTGAAATGTTGTTCATATTGCAGTGTTAAATAATGCAGTTGCATAAATAGTATGATGGTGAGCTTGCAGGATCTCATCGCAGAAGCATGCACTTGCCAATCAATAAGTACTTCAATTCACTGCCTCCTCAAAGGGATGATCTCCACTCTAGGGTGTCTATAATCACTACTGTCCAACTGTTACCAAGATTCATCATGGAACAAGATTTTTGTCAAATCCTGTGTAGTGAAGAGTGATTGCTTTAGCTGCACCAGCAAGATGCACCACAAAATGATTTTAAATGCAAGACATGGATGCGCTGCAGCCCACCAATGCATGATAGGATATTAAAGAATAACAAATCAAACCAAGTAAAACAAAAACAAGCATAACTCCAACATTGTAGCCAAATCAATGGGCTTCTTCATGGTTCTTTGACTGACTCTCCATAGTCCAGGAATGCTTTTTGCACTTAAAGCTGATGTGGAAGTTGTAATGCTTGTATATTGTCTTGATATGACCTTGTCTGTAAACTTGCTGACCTTGCACAGTCCACTGCATAACCACACTCTAGAAATGTTTCCATAAATTGTGTTTTGACTGCAAACCTAAATTTCTACTCACAACAGCATCTTTTTTGGCAATAATATCCTGAATAATTCAACTGTTGGTTTGCTAATTTTTTTTAAACCAGTAACAGAGCCAGTAAAGATTGTCAAGCAAAAGTGCTAGCACAGTATATGAAGAAATATTAAATTCAATTTGTAAAACTTAATACAAGGAGTAGACAAATCGTGCTGATACCAAAGGGTCAATATGAAGCAAATCTGTTGAGAATTTTATATGATACGATATTAACTCACATACAGGTGGATATTGGGTAATATCCTCAATCTGTTATTTTTTCTTTCTTCCTTATTAGTTTCTTTTTTTCATGGTGTTGGTATACCTGATAACCCAAGTTAACAATTTACATCTCAATGTCTAGCACTGATCTCTACTCAGACAGGGACAATAAACTTAATAACAGATGAGAATCGACATACATTAAGGACTACAATGACAATTATATCATCAAAACCTTTTACTACTCATCAACCATTTATAACTGTGGAAAACAAAATTAATGCTTTTATTTCCAGCTAGTTCATCAAACATCCTTCTGCAATTAAATATTTATTAACTGAAAATAGGTCAACTGGAAGAATAACTTTCATGTCTAGTTGATTATAATAGATAAAACATTCCCCATTAATTACCATGATGAGTCACTGCCACTTAACCAATGTCTTGTCATTATCATAAACATACACAATTAGCATTACTAAAACAATTCTAATATAAATAATGGTAAGTTCCACTAACCCATTGTAACACCACCTACATAGATATGATCAATATTAATCATGATTAACCAATGTACATTGTAGGTACTTTAACTGCCCCAATCAGTTCAGGGACAGAGTACCTGTCAGGCCATTGGTCTAGAGAGCTGTATGTAGGTCACTGCAGCTCCACTAGGCTACACCTGTTCACCTGATCATGGATCTGGAGCCATTATCAGGATCAGTACCTGCTGAATGAGTCATCCCGAGCTACATCAATCATATCCATACATAAACAGGTTCTCACAACCTACACACCAACCAATAATCAATCTTTTGTCGCAACGTGAAACATCTTTACATTTTTGTTTTTTCCCAGGTTTCACTAGATACCATATAAAATAACTAATCAGCTAATGAGCAAGTTCTGAAACTGCTTCAATAATCAATTAATCTTTTCTTAATCAATATTTTTTTAACTTGATACATTAAAAGTCAATTAGATACATTGGAAATTTTACC